GGGCTCTGCCCTTCAGCAGAGGGTGACTGCTTTGATGGTGCCGGGCTAACCCAGGCTGTGAGATCAAAGCACAGCTCCTGCCTGGTGCTCTGCTCTCTTCGGGGCTTTTTAGCCTGGGCTGGCTCATAATTACAAGAATTCCCAAGTGGCTGGAAGCAGCTCTTGCAAAAGGAACTCTCTGCAGAGCAGCTGGATGGAGAGCAGTGTGTAAATCTGCCCGGGCTGCCAGACACCAAAAAACTCCTCAGGACAGGGGGCACTGGGAGGGACAGAGGACAGGGGACAATCAATCCCAGCCCTGAGCTGGGCTCTCCTGCCCTCCAGGCTCTGTCCCCCTCCTGTGTACCCTGTCCTGAGTCAGGAGTAGCTGAGCAGAACACGCTGCAGCTGCTGCTGGACCCCGCCACGGCTCCTTCCTCCCTCCTTTTGGGAACAGGGGCAGAACGCAGCTGCCTGAGAGGCTTTATCTGGGCTGGGAAACCTCCAGAGCCACAGGGGGAAGCCACTGAGCCTGCTGTAAACCAGAGCTGGCCCCAAAGCCGAGCCCAGGGGCAGGGCAAGGCTGCAGAGCCCGGCTGGGATGGGAGCAGCACCTTGGGGTGGGGGACAGCTCTGGGATGGGCTGTGGGATTCCAGCACCTTGGGGTGGGGGGGTCTGGGCTGTGGGATCCAGCACCTTGGGGTGAGGGACAGCTCTAGGAACCCCACAGGGACACAAAGAGCACCCCTGGGCATCCTGCACCACTCCCCAGGGACCCCAAACTTCCCCCCACCCTTCAGGCTCCCTGTCTGGATCCTCCATCAGAAGGGGCTGCACAAGGAGTCACCCTTCCCTTCCAGGGCTTTTGGAGCCAACGAGGTCCCCTTGAAAACCCCTGAGGGATGCTGAGAGAATTTGGGATTTAATTGTTCACACACCTCTATGAAATATTCCCAGTGTTGGTCTTGCCAGAAACCTAAAGCAGAACCTTGTTATGAAAGACCATTTCTTAAGGACACTTTCACAATTCAATATTCTGGTTTTCCTTATAAGAAAGCCAAGAAAATTTTGATCCAAGTCCAACTTTTGGCCGTTTTTTCCTGTCTCAAAGGAAATTCAGATTTGCCCTAGTGGAGCCCATTTCCACCCCTAAAGCAGAGCCTGCATTCTCTGCACAGGACACACACGAGGAAAGGCCTTGAGCTCCTGATTTTGCCAGAACCGTGGCACAAATTTAATGTTAAGGTTACAAAGACCTTCTCCTAATCACATTAATGACCTTTCTTTAATCTGTGCAGGTGTTTTCAGCAGGCTGGAGCCAAAGCAAGGGAGCTGTTGGCACAACCTCCAGGACATAACCAGATTACAAAGCTCGGTGTTGTGGCAAGCTGGAATTGGAGGCTGTGTTCCTGCAACTGTCACTGCAGAACTTCTGCAGCACAGCCACGCAGTGAAAGGGAATTTAGATGCAGAATTTATGCAGAATAGCACCCAGTGTAGAGAACAAACACAATAAATAAAATCAAATACACTGCAGAGGCATAGGATGTAAACACAGAAGAAAATGTAAGGGGAAAAATGAAATGAACTATATTTAATATGGATATTTAACCGTGATAGCTCATTCCATAATTTCTCTGGTGTTTTGACACCAGCAGGTTCTACTTCTCAATAGTAGAATGAGAAAAAAGTTCAAAAAGTTTTAATAGAAGCTGTAAGTGGGGCGGTAGAACCTAAGGAGTTTTTCCTAGAAAAGAGAGAGAAGGGAAACAGCAGAATGAGAGAGCAAAAAGAAAAGAGGGAAAGAAGAGAGAGTTAAAGAGAGAAGAGAGAGAAAGAAACAGAGAAAATATATCGATGAAAAAAATCAAGACAGAAGAAGGAATATTTTCACTCCAGACTATCTGCAGCAGGCTTGCTTTTGACTTTCATATTCTATTTAAAAATACAAAATTGGGAGCATTGAAAAAGAGTTCCCAAATTAGCTTTTTAATAGAGATGGGAAGTTAAAAGGGGCCGAGTCATGGGGGAAAAGCGATTCAGAATCACAGCCAGGGCAGCACCAGCAGAGAGTGAGGCCAGAGCACGCCCCAGAGAGAGAGGAGTCAGGAAGTTTTATGAAGTGGTGACACTGTAAATCACAGAAAAATCTCTTATACCAGCAAAAGCCAAATGACATTTCTGGTTCTGCTTTCTTCTCAGCATCTGCAGAGGGAAAGAGCAAGTGGAGATATAGGGAGGGTTTAAAAGTGGAAAGCAGCTCTGGAGACATCTAATAAAGATGGATTCAGGATGCTTTGATATATTCAAATTCTTACAGCCACTGAAAGTTTCTCACAGAAGTTTTAGGATTCACTTTGCACAAAACTATTCACGTGTCCAGCACACAACTCTTAATATCCAAAACCTAAAGATTATTCTACACTGCATGTGCCTGAACTTGTTAGCTGCTCTGCCACATTAATGCAGATTACAAATGTTATCAGGGGAGGCTGGGCTTGGGGAGGGTTACCCAGGATCTGTCACTCAGAAATTAGTGTTATTTTTTAATAATTACATTGAATTATCAGAAATGAGACCCTGGATTGGACGGATCAGGTTGGGGTTCAGTTGTATCTTGGGGAAATGCCACCACTGCAAGTGTGGTTAAGCACTGGAGCAGCTGCCCAGGGAAGTGAGGAGTCAGCAGCCCTGGAAGGGCTCACACAGGAGTGGACGTGGCACTTTGTGGTATGGTTCAGGATTCAGTCAGAGGCCGGCTCATGATCTCGGAGGTCTTTTCCAAGCTCAGTAATTCCATGATCAGGGTCCTGGTTTCAGAGCTTCTAGAGCCAGATCACTGATTTGTTGAAATGTTGAGGATTTGGAGGTCTTTCCCTGTTTTTATTTGGCTTTTTTCTTTAAGAAGGTCTTGGGTTTAGAGCTCTGGGTAGAAAGGCACCTGGAAAATGTCCCCTGGCCATTGCTGGCTGCACCAAACCCTGTTTCCCTCATTTCAAGGCACCAGAGGCTCATCAGACCCCCCAGCACACATGCCTGGCTCACAGTGATGCATGGAGGCGCAGCTCCTGCCCCTGACAACGCAACCCCTGCAGCCCCCGGACCCTCCTTAGAGACCCCTGCACACACACAGGGCTGGGGGAGCGGCTGCGGGACCCCCGGGAGGGAGCGGGACCCCTGGAAGGGAGCGGGGCGGGACCCCCGGGAGGGAGCGGGATTCCCGGGAGGGTGCGGGACGCCGGGGACGGAGAGGGCAATGGGCACGGGAAGAGGGTGCGGGACCCCCGGGCAGAGGGCAGCGCACGGTGGGGGTGGCCGGTGGTCACAGCATCCCCGCAGTGGGTCCCGCACCCTCTCCCCGTCAGCAGTCAGCCCTCTGAGGCCAGAGCACGCCCCCCGTGCCCGGTGCCCGCTCGCTCCCGGGGTCCCGCAGCCGCTCCCCGCTCCCGGCGCTCGCTCTCTCCGGGCAGCCGCGCCCGGCGCCGCTCGCTCCGGGTGACACCTGCCGGCGGCAGCGCGGGCGGGCGCTCTGGCTGGTTACATGTCTAGAAGTGCACCCGTGTTTTCCGCTCTGCGCCGCGCGGGGCCGGCCGCTCCCACCGCTGCCACCGCTGCCACCGCTCCCCATCGCAGCCACCGCTGCCATCGCTCCGCCGCTCCCCATCGCTCCGCCGCTCTCCGCCGCTCTCCGCCGCTCTCCGCCGCCGCCCCGCGCCCGCGCACTCCGCGCAGCCCCGCGCTCCGCTCCCGGCAGCCGCATGGCCGCGGAGGCACCGGGCGGGCGGCCGCGGCCGGGAGCGCCCTGCGGAGGTGAGGGGGTCTGCCGGGAGGGAGGGGGGCGGGAAGGGAGCGGCCCCGGGGTGCGGGGACAGCGGCCCCGGGGTGCGGGGACACCGGCCCGGGGTGCGGGGACACCGGCCCCGGGGTGCGGGGACACCGGCCCGGGGTGCGGGGACACCGGGGTTCACCTGCGAGCGGGGCGGGGGAGCCCCGGGGTGCGGGGACACCGGCCGGGGGTGCGGGTTCACACCGGGGTTCACCGGCCGCTCCCACCCCGAGCCCCGCTCCCCTCCCGCCCCTCGCCGCTGCCGATGCCAGCCCGGCACGGCCCCGCACGGCCCCGCACGGCCCCGCACGGCCCGGTAAGCGCGCTGCCGAGCCGCCGAGGAGGCGATGCCGAGGCGGCCGAGCCCCGCTCGCTGCCGTCCCTGCCGCTGTGACTTTATGGAAGTCATCAACTGTGGCTGCGGCGCGGCAGTCACCGCCCGGAGCTGCCCGGCGGAGCAGGGCAGGGCTGGCCCGCTCTGATTTGGGCTTGTGGTCATTTGCTTGATGGAGGTTCGACAGCAAATGGAGAAATGAGCGAGGCTGCCGGGTCTCGGAGCGTGCCGAGCCCAACTTCTGAGCGGGGATGGATGAAAGGGATGCTGAGGCGGTGTGCAGACACGAGCGGTGAGAGCTGCCAAGGAGCAGAGCCAGAACAGCAGGACGAGCGGAAAGAGAAAGGTGCTGGGAAGGAAGAAGGGAGAAGAAGATAGGGAAAGATGGGTTTAAATGCAAATGATTTCTTTTTCTTCCCGAACGCAGCCTCCCGCCCGGGCCGAGGCGGTGGGTGTGGGTGCCGGCTGCTGCAGGAATAGCTGCTTTTCTTGTCCAGAAGGAATCGCTCCTGCCCTGTCCCCGCCTGACCGGGAGCCAGGAGGGACACGGGCAGCTCCGCGACAGAGCCCTGGAGTTCAGCCCTGCTTTCCCCCTGCTCTCTCTCGGCACATTAGCATGCAGGGCAGGCTCTGGCGGTATTTAACGGCTCCGTTTGCCCTGCGGGCTCGCACCGCCCTTGCCCAGCCCGCGGGGTGCGAGCGGGGCCGTGCCCGGCTGGGCTGGGCAGCCGGGGCAGAGCAGGGCGCTGCAAGGGGAGGGGGCAGCTCCGGAGACAGGCAGGGAGAGCCTCCGTGTCGGCAGCGATGAGCGAGAAGCTGTTTAGTCATCTCTCTATATATACTTTCCCGATGATGATCGCATTCACTGATTGCTCCTGACTGCGTGGCGAGAGGGAGTCGAGAGGCAGGCGGCAGAGCTCGCTCCCATCCCGAGAGCCCGCTCCCCTTCCCTCCCGTTCCCCCATCCAGCCCTATTCTGGGCTTTCCCTTCCAGGTAAGCGAGCCGGCAGGACGGGGCTCTCGGGGCTCGCTGGGAGGGGAGAACTTCGCATGCATTTCTCCTAAGCCTGTTGCTTTTGCTCCTAAATCGCCCCGACAGACCGAGGGAGTGAGTGTTTTGCAGAAAGTTTCATTTTCTGGTGTTGCTGCGGAGGGGAAGGAATGTGTGGCTGACAGAAGACGCCGAGTTGGGCTGACATATTTTGCTTTAAAGCAAAGGTCTCTTTGCTGCCTGAGCCTGACCCAACAAGGACAGGAGAGGGAAGAAGGGATGATCTCCAGGCTCTTCGCTCCCTTTAGCAGTGTCTCACCAAGAAACTTGCAGTATGTTTATGGGTCCTTTTTCAGAGCAGCCCTGTCTGCTTCTGGAAAGGGAAGCACGGAGGTTTTGGGTTTGTCTCTGCTCTCTTGAGGTGATGGAGAGACATTGATCAGTGTGGCATTGCCGTGGGAGCTGCGGTGGTAAGAAAGCATCCTTTCTTTCTGGACCCTTTGGGTGAACAGTCATGACTGCTCCGTGCCAAGCTCTCCTGAGCTGTCCTGGCCCGGGCTGGGTCAGGATTTGGCTGTCAGGGTTTTTTTGGGGTGAGACCCCCGTGCCCCTGGAGCGGCTGCAGCGGAGCCAGCGCAGCTCGGGAGGGACCCGGAGGGATCAGGAGGGCTGGGAGGAGACAGGGGCTCCTGCTCAGCCTTCTCTCCAATTTGACTGTTTCATCATCCCCATAGTTATCTGAAGAAAACAGACTCTTTTCTCTACAGATACTTTTTTTAAATCAGGAGGCAAATGATTCTATTTTGTGTACCAGGTCTTCTAAATGTCATCAGCAGGGTGCCGGTCTGCTGTGAACCAGTTCCTTTTAGATTGCATGCAGAAATTATGGTAATTAAAATTAGAAATATGGATATAGCTAAATATATGCTTGTTAGAATTAGAGTGTGTCTGTTTTCTATGAGAGCTCCAGACACTGTCAACAGTACATTAGATTTTGAGTCCAGCCAATTGCTTTCCAGCCTAAACAGACTGCTTAGCAGTTACCAAAATCCAAGCAGGCAGAAAAAGGGGATTCTTTCTACATTCTGGAATTCTACATTCTGGATAAACTTGTTACTTCATCTTTTTTTGACCCAGCTGAGGTTGTGCAGGTCAGAATTACAAATCCAGTCCCTGCTCCTTCTCCCAATTTCCTTCCACTTCCTTCAGGGAGTGGTAGAGTTCCAAGGACTCATGGACAAGAAAAAGCAAAACCCCTGCAACACTTCTCGCTCTGGTCCTTTGGATGATTTACAGCTGAAAAAGACTCCTCTTCTTGTATTTTGAGGATCAAACGGGGCAGATTCCGTGTAACTCTGAGAATGAAGCTGGGTGCACTCTGTTGTTCTAACCAGCTGCATCTCTTGGACACAGAGAAATGGGAACTAAACTTCCACAGAAGAATTCCCCTTTCTTTCTCTTTTGCTTTAATCTCCTGTCCCTTTCATAGCTGAGGTATTTATAACTTCCCCACATATACTGCCAGCATGAAAGGACCCATTTTGTCTTTTAAAAATTGATTTAAAAATGTGTAAGTCACTTATGAGTTACCAGTGCTTTATTGGAACAATTATATGTGAAGTATTTATAGTGCCTCAGCAGCTAATGTAGGTAACCTGGAATCTACAACAAAGTTATGAAAGTACAGAAGAGATTTCTAATGTGGTTCCCCTGAGAAATCAGGGGAGATGAGGATCCAGTGTGCTCAAACTGGTCAGGTCACCAGTCAGTCCTGGCAGAAGGACGCTGGTGATGCTGCTAAGTGAAATTAAAACCCAGGGAAGACAGATTGCCAGCAGGGAAAGCAGGAACAAGATGACTTTTCTTGGTTTCTCAATTATTTGCCTGTATATATTTGGTGATTAATGGATGAAATAATTCTTACTTTTGCTGCCTCCTGTTCTGAAGTGTTTCATGAGAGTTAAAAGATCCATCCGAGGTGGTAGAAGGGTGCAGCCCGAGCCCCTGGAGATGCCCTTTCAGCTGGGGGCTTTCCAAAGTCGTGCAGGGAAGGTTCCCAGTGCTGAGCTGTGCCTCAGCCCCGTCCCCAGGGCGGCCAGGCGCGATTCGCGCACTAAATTCCTCTCTGGGGGGAGAGAAAAGCGCTGCTGCTTTGTAACACTGAGCAACCCTTGAGAGAGAAATGCTGCGGGATGTTTGCTCCAGTGCTGTGCGCACTAAATTCCTCTCTGGGGGGAGAGAAAAGCGCTGCTGCTTTGTAACACCGAGCAACTCTTGAGAGAGAAATGCTGCGAGATGTTTGCTCCAGTGCTGTGAGATGAGCACGGTGCCTCCTCGGGATAAGCATCACTGTGGGTTATTATGTGCTCCGTAATTACCAGAGCTCTTCAGCAGCAGCAAGATGCTCGCACGAGGGATTTCAATTGTCCTTTAGACAGTAAAATTGCATAGGAAGATGCTCCACATTAAGGTGATGAATGTTAATTTGCCCTGAAGAGGAAGAGCATTTCTGTGAGCACTTCAGGCATTTTCACCACAGACTCATTCCATCATTTTTTATTCAGTATTTTGATGGCCCATTGGAATCAATAATGCTGCAGCCTTACTGGCTGGAATGGCAGCTTTCATGTAAGTTAAAAACTTTAGAGTAAAACTGCCTGCAAAGATACAATTAGGCTCTGAGGGCCTGACTCAGTGGAATCAATGGAATTTCCATTGATAAATTGACTTTTGATAGGGCTCCTAATGCATCTGATCTGATAATGGCACCTTTCTTCAGCTAATTTCATGGTAGAATTAGAAAGCACTAGGGAAGTGAAAGTAAAAGCAAGTTAAAACAAAAGTTAAAAACTGCAAGAACTCTGACCAAAGATCAAAAAGATAAAACAAATGCATGGCTAGATCAGAGCACAAAAACTACTTAAATTTCTTTGGGGCCTTCCTTCATTCTGATGTTCTTGGTATTTGGTAGCTTAAGCCATCAGCCTTCACCCCTGGGATTGAAGTTTTCTGGTGCTCAGGTGTTCTGAGCAGTGTTTCCCCAAAAATCAGAATTTTCCTCTGGTCCAGTGGAGGGCTGCAGTACTTGCCAGGAGTAAAGCCCAGCTCTGAAAGAAAGAGAGCAGCAGAAAACTGCTGCTGAGGCCAGGCCATGCATTAAAGATGGACGAGAACTGCTGAAAACCAGAGAAAAATTTCCATTTCTTTCAACTAAAGATGTCCTTAGTGCAAGATTCAGAACATCCTGAACTTGTTTAGGACTGGAAATGCAGTTTTAAGCCCAGTCGTGGGCTTTGGTGGTGTATGATTCCACTGCAGGATGATTTCGCTGGAGTTCCCGGCTCTTTCTTGACAGCTGTAGTTAAACTGATGAGCACAGGAGGCTTACACCTGGGGAATTATGGATTAGTCTTGTTTGTGAGGAAGCAAATATAAATTACTGTGTTTATGCTACTTTTAAAATGCTTTTAATGAGGAATCATTTGCTATTCAAAATTTCGATCTATAATAATGCCATAGCCCCGCTGAGCTGATTGTCACGTGCCTTGTTCAACACCACTCTGCACCAGTGGCTGCAGACTCTCGTGTCTGTGCTGATCCTGGGCTCTTCCACCCAACGGGGCACGACGCCCCGCATGACTGTGTGCTGTGTTCTCTTCTCTTCTGCCTTCTAGATGGAACTGCTCTGACTGCCAGCAGGTCCCAGCAGCACCCCCAGCCCCACCTCCAGTAACACGGCCCGGCCTCGTCATGGCAGCAGGAGTGGCAGCGTGGTTGCCCTTCGCCAGGGCGGCTGCCATAGGATGGATGCCAGTGGCCAACTGCCCCATGCCGCTGGCTCCCACGGAGAAAAACAAGAGGCAGGATGAGCTGATCATCCTCAATGTGAGTGGCAGGCGCTTCCAGACCTGGAGGACTACACTGGAGAGGTACCCGGACACTCTCCTGGGCAGCACGGAGAAGGAGTTCTTCTTCAACGAAGACACCAAGGAGTACTTCTTTGACCGGGACCCCGAGGTCTTCAGGTGCATCCTCAATTTTTATAGGACTGGCAAGCTGCACTACCCCAGGTACGAGTGCATCTCTGCCTACGACGAAGAGCTCGCCTTCTACGGGATCCTCCCCGAGATCATCGGGGACTGCTGCTACGAAGAGTACAAGGACAGGAAGCGGGAGAACGCGGAGCGCCTGATGGACGACAACGACTCGGAGAACAACCAGGAGGGCTCCATGCCCTCGCTGAGCTTCCGGCAGACCATGTGGCGAGCCTTCGAGAACCCCCACACCAGCACCTTAGCCTTAGTCTTTTACTACGTCACCGGGTTCTTCATCGCCGTCTCTGTGATCACCAACGTGGTGGAGACCGTGCCCTGCGGCACCGTGCCGGGGAGCAAGGAGCTGCCCTGCGGGGAGCGCTACGCCGTGGCCTTCTTCTGCCTGGACACGGCGTGCGTGATGATCTTCACCGTCGAGTACCTGCTGAGGCTCTTCGCGGCGCCGAGCCGCTACCGCTTCATCCGCAGCGTGATGAGCATCATCGACGTGGTGGCCATCATGCCCTACTACATCGGCCTGGTGATGACCAACAACGAGGACGTCAGCGGGGCCTTCGTCACGCTAAGGGTTTTCAGGGTTTTCAGGATTTTCAAGTTCTCCCGCCATTCCCAAGGCCTGAGAATCTTGGGCTACACTTTGAAGAGCTGTGCCTCCGAGCTTGGCTTTCTCCTCTTTTCCCTCACTATGGCAATCATCATCTTTGCAACTGTGATGTTTTATGCGGAGAAAGGGTCCTCGGCGAGCAAATTCACCAGTATTCCTGCTTCCTTTTGGTACACTATTGTAACCATGACAACACTGGGGTGAGTATTACTTTTCCTTCTCCTGAGCAGCAGGCAAGCGTGTACTGGGAGCTTGACTTCAGCTCCTCCTCAGCATTTTCCTGGGTGCATGTTCGAGAAGGGGCTGGAAGTGTTCGGGGCTTGATTATTCTTTGCCTTACAACTTGTGCAATTTGCGTGCGGTTGTATAAACCAGAAAAAGCACTTACACCCACTTGACAAATGCTCGGCACCACGGTGAAGGAGTGCAGGAGGAGCAGAGTGGTGGAGTAGCAGGTTCTGATGCATTCCTGCAGGAGGGAGAAGCTGACCCGAGTGCAAGGGGCTGGGGAGGGAGCTCTGCTCGCTCGACACTGGCTCCAGCCATGCGTCTCACACAAAGCTGCTGATGTGTCTGCTGTGTCTCCTTGCAATGTCAGTCCTTGTTTCTCCCCTTGACTTGCCAGCAACTACAGATTTGCTGAATCCAAGTGGATGTTGTGGGTCACTGTACTGAAACGCTCAGTGATGGCCAGGATGTGATCTGGTTTGCACTCAGTTGAGCAGGACAGGAGCTTCTTGTCTGTGTTTAGCTGTGAGCTGGAGAACCGAGCGTGCTGTGGCGGCTGCAGAGGAATTTCAAACATTGCCACGGACAGGTACAAAGATAATGAAATCAAAGCAAGGGGAATGTAGCCTGGAGGGCTCTTTTCCCCCTTATATTTCATTTCTGTCTCACAGATGTTGCCACTGAGATTATAGATTTGCGTTTCTGCTGCTCTGAACTAAAACCCCTGGGAGCAGAACGGCCAAACCCTCACCCTGGCAAGGTTGTGTGGAGGAAAGTGGGCATTGCAGGCTGCTGCTTCGGGCACACACAGAACCAGGATCGAGGGCAATCTCCTCATCCCACAGGTCACAGCAGTAGAGGAAATCTGGAGTTACTTTGCAAGGAGTTTTCCCACTGGAGAATTCACACAGTTTAATACTCAGATGTAGACAATTCTCCTCCTTGTAATGCAGGGACCACTTTTTCTCTAAACTGCTTTTGATTTTAAACACTTCTCTGTGCCTATTATACATGAACAGGCTCACAGTAGCACTTTTAAATTATTAAAATCATAATTCAGCTGTCAGAAAGGCGCCGAATCTGGGCATGTGACAACTGAAAGTCTGAATTCCTTCATTAAGTGCAAGTGTAGAACCTGTTTGTCATAGTCACCTAAAGATCTCTTATTCTTCCTTTTTAATAGCTAAGTAAGTTTGCAGGTTTATGGCAAAAGCTGTTCCTTCCCCTGGGAAAGGTAAAATGTAGAAATCAAAGCTGGGCTTTGCAGCCCGGCCCTGCCCCAGGCTGTAGCTGAGCTTCCCATGTTCTGACTGGTCCATACTGGTCAGGTCCCCCCTCCACGGGATCTGATCAGCTTCAGGGGGACACCTGCCTTGGCTGGCTGCTCACGTGTCTCTGGCAAGGGGACAGGTGTGGAAATGCAGCTCCATTTCCAGATTCCCTTTAACAGCACTCACACCGTCCTGCACCCGTTCACACTCTGCTGTTACATCCTTGTGACAGGAGCCGTGGGCTCAGGGCTGGCCTGCGTGGGCTGGGAACGGCCCCAGGACGTGCAGAACGTTCTGGAGAGCAGCTGGGGCTCTGCTCCTGCCAGGGCTCTGCTCGGTTTGGGTCCCTGCCCTCCCTTCTGAACACAGGGACAAGCCCAGGGACCTCAGGGTGCTCTCAATTTGTTGTAATCACAGAAATCACAGAGGAACCAGTGCTGGAAATGAGCTGACATGGACTGAAGAAATTAGGCATTTAAACATGGCTTTGTAAGGGTTCACTGGCAAGGGACCTATAAAATGCTGTCAAAGTCTTAAAACTGAGGCTTCTGGTGGTACAGATTTGGGACTTTCAGGTTGTTCCACCTTCCTGACTCCCCCTGTGTGGGGTGGGGTTAACCCTCCTGGGGGAGCTCACCATCCAGGGCTTACCCTCCTGCCCTTCATCTCCCAGAAATCCTCCCAGTTCTGACAAACTGGCACTTTCAGGCAATGTTTCAGATCCATCTCTCTTCAGAAGCCTTTTCAATCTGTTTGGAAGGATCTTGTTGCTAATGAGAGTCCTGGCAATTCCTCCTGCAGAGGATGCAGCCAAGGTCCCCAGCGTGCTCCCAGTCCATCAGCCTTGCCCTCCTCAGCGCTGGCCACTCCGCTGCTTGCATTTCAGCAGCACTCAGAGCTTTTATCGAGATCTTAAGTATTTCCTGCCTTTTGCCCTTAATAATTCAGTCAGCATTTAAAACAAGAAACCATGAAGCACGACAGTTTTTAACTCAAAATCATAGATATAGTTTGTTTTCACCACCAATACATTCAAACCCAGATAAGTGCAGCTTTCCCTGGGGCTGGAATCCCACCATTGCTTTGGCAGAGTGCCTTAGAGGAGCGATCTGGAAGGTGCAGGATAACTTTCTCCCTGTTACTAAGATCCATTTGTGTAAAACCAAAGTTTACTTACTGCAAACAAACAGAGCCAACAGCAGGGGACCATTAACCCTCCCCTGCACTGTGCATCAGCTGCTCTCCCAGATTCCCAAGCACCTTTGGGACACAATCACATTTCCAGACTGACCATAAATAAAATGCAATAGAAATGCATTTCTTATTGAAGGTGAAGCCCAGCAGCAATAAATAACCTCTGGTTTTGGTGGGGTTACCATGCAAGTCACTTTAGAGACATTCAGGATGATTGCAGCTCCTTAGGCAGTTAACAGCCCAGGGAGACAGGTACAGCAGCTTTTCTGGAGCGGGAAACAAAGCAAAGGAATTCAATTATACTGACCCTGCATCTCTGATCCCTCTGCTGTGCTCATCAGCCCTGGCTTAACAGAGGCTGTTTTTAATTCAACACAATTTAAATTTTGCTCAGGAGGCTTTGTAATGAAAGCATTATTCTTGGGTGCATCTTAAATCAATCTGAATTACTGAAACAACTATTCAAAATTAATTCAAACTCAGCTCTCCAATTCATGCAGAAACATTTTTCTCAAGAGGCCAGCAGCTCCCATCCCCTCCCTCGCCGCTCTCCCAGCCCCAGTGCTCTGGGCTCTGCAGACCCTTGCTGTGTCCTGCAGGAGGTTCTGACCCTGGCCCAGCCCAGAATGCAGATGCTGCCAGGAGCAGCAGTGCCAGCCCACCCCAGCACCCCGTCCCTGCCCTGCAATTAGCTAATTCAATATGCAGTGGGTTTACACCTCCACAGAAATGTGTTAATTCGAGTGAATTTGGTTCCCTTGGTGCATTGGTTTTCATGGAATCACAGAACAGTTGGGGTGGGAAGGGACCTCAAACCCAGCTCATTCCAGCCCCCTGCCAGGGCAGGGGCACTCCCCAGCAGCCCAGGCTGCTCCCAGCCCCAGCCAATATTCACTTTTATTCACTTTTAGGGAGCAGTATGGATGGGGAAGCCCCAGGTTCTGCTGCTTCCCCTCATGTGCAGCACAAACACAAAACCTCCGTCCCCCCACTAAACCCCCCACCAGCTTTGCCCAGAAAAAGTGTTTTTCTACACTTTTACAGCTGTTTTCATTTAATCTGACAGCAGCAGTATGTTTCAGGCTCCTAGGCAGTGTCTATGACCTGCAGCAGAGGCATCAAATTGTAGCTGTGAAAACCTGAGTGCCACAAAAACCTTCCTGCAGCCCCGAGGGCACAGAGCAGCTCCCGGGGCTGGCTGGGCACGGCAGCCAGGCTGGGAGGGAGCAGAGGGAGTGGGGGGGATGGAAGGGACCTCAAAGCCCCTCCAGTGCCAGGGCAGGGACACCTTCACTGTCCCAGGTGCTCCCAGCCCTGTCCAGCCTGGCCTTGGCACTGCCAGGGATCCAGGGACAGCCCCAGCTGCTCTGGGCACCTGTGCCCACCCTGCCAGGGAACAATTCCTGCCCAATATCCCATCCAACCCTGCCCTCTGGCATTTCCCCTTGCCCTGTCAATCCATGCCCATGTAAATTGCCCTACATTTAAATTTCAGCTGGTTTAAATGAGCTCTCTTGGAGCCCCTTTAGGCACTGGCAGGTGCTATAAGGAGGGAATATTCTGGAGGGAATTGCCACCGAGACCTTTGGGCCATTTTTGCCAAGAAAGCAGCAGTGCCACAGCGGGAGGAGCAGAGGAGCAGAGGCTGGTGCTGGGTTTGGTTTAGTTTGGTTTGGTTGGTTTGGTTTGGTTTGGGTTGTCCTGAGGGATCCACTGGGCAGCTTTCTCTTGCCCAGAAAGGCTGAGCTCCCACCGCCTCGGGGAGCTCTCTGTGGAAGCTCTCTGGCTGCCTGTCGCCCTCCCAATTTGCACCACCATAATGGCTTTGAGAGCGCTCTCCCCCTTTCAGGGCAGCTGCTCTGGTCAATGGCTTTGAAAGACACAGCTCAGTGCACTTGGACAACACAGCCCGTCTGGAATTCATTTCAGGTTAACACAGGAGAGCCGATAAAACAGCCCTGCGTATGTCAACAGCCTGGTTGAGCAGGAGCTGCAGCTTCTGAGAGGGTTTGTTGGCTGGAGGTAGAGGCAGGGGTTGGGTAGGCTCTGGTTTGGTTTGCCTGGGCTCTGCCTCTGCCAGTGTGGATCAGAGTGAACACGAGAGAACAGGCGGCTGGTGCTGGGTTTGGTTTAGTTTGGTTTGGTTGGTTTGGTTTGGTTTGGTTTGGTTTGGTTTGGTTTGGTTTGGTTTGGTTTGTCCTGAGGGATCCACTGGGCAGCTTTCTCTTGCCCAGAAAGGCTGAGCTCCCACCGCCTCGGGGAGCTCTCTGTGGAAGCTCTCTGGCTGCCTGTCACCCTCCCAGTTTGCACCACCATAATGGCTTTGAGAGCGCTCTCCCCCTTTCAGGGCAGCTGCTCTGGTCAATGGCTTTGAAAGACACAGCTCAGTGCACTTGGACAACACAGCCCCGTCTGGAATTCATTTCAGGAACCAGGTTAACACAGGAGAGCCGATAAAACAGCCCTGCATATGTCAACAGCCTGGTTGAGCAGGAGCTGCAGCTTCT